TAGTTTTACTCAAAAACCATCAAAATCCGGTTTGAACCAAAAATGGGTTTTGAAATCCGAAGACGTAAGATTCAAGAGAGGTTCTTTCAGTAATCTTACCTCGAATCCTTCTCTTGACGTTGAAAACTTCTTTAAATCTTTCCTCGGTTCAAGATCCGTTTGATTTGGGACAAAAATGAGAGAGAGAGAGAGAGAGAGAGAGAGAGTGAGAGAGCACGGGAGAGTGAGAGAGAGAGTGGGGGAGAGAGACGCACGAGAAAGGAAGAGAAAAGAAAGGAAAAGGAAAAAGGAAAAAGAAAAGAAAAGGAAAAGGAAAGAAAATGACATGTGTACAATATTATAAAAGAACAGTCCAGAAATGCGTCCATACACACTTCTAGTTTAAAATAAATTACTGAGAATAATTTAAATACCTTGGAACTATTTAAACTCACACGTGTCAGAAACATTTATTAATTAAACTCAATTAATAATCCAGATTAGGCACACTAATAATCTCAATTTCCTTAATTAATCTCAATTAATTTTTCAGGGTGTTACAGGTGGACATGCAATTATGATTATGCTACAAAGTAACTAATTTAATGTACTTTAAACAAGAGGCATGTATACAATAAACACATCATCATTCATATCACTGTGAATAAATGCAATACAATTAAGCAAGTAAGTTTCTCAAGAAAATCATTTTAAAGCCATTTATGTTGTAGCTGAGGTTTGTACTCATCTGGGCGTTATTGCTTAGTGTGCACTCACAGCACACCACGTTCGTATGACAATTCGTTTTGTATTTATCATTACCGATAACCGACTGTTAGTTCATTATTGATTCCTTTAATCCATTATGGTTAGTCTCTCGAACCTTGGTTTATTTCTTTAATCTTACTTCCCTTAACTTTCCTTTTTCATTTGCATTAACTGATATATCTCATTTGATTCAATGGTTAATTCTTATTAAGGTTTCATCATTTTATTTTTGCTGACTTATTTTGTTTAAGTCCTTGGTCTCCTAAACATTAATTAGGTTTTACTAATCCTATCAATTATTTTTCTTGTAATTTCTTATTAGACCTTCTGTGAATTAACTAATAAAATTGGTTAATCCGCATTTGTACTTTATTAACCGTCTTAGGTTAATTATTCTTTGTTACCCCCTTAATCGTTTCTCATCAATTAATTAATTAATTAATTAGGTCATTAGACCTTATTGATTTATACTCGTGATTATCATAATTACTCTATTTTAGAGTCTAAGAATTTAACTTAGTTGGGCTCATGCGGGTATTCTTTTGGTATACCGTTAGGTTACCCCTTTTGTGTCCATTTGGGTTTACCTAAGTCCCAATCATTCCTAAGGTAAGGACTAGCACCTTGTAAGTTTTCCTAGGTTTACTTAACAGTTACCTCATTTCTTACTTGGGCCTCTATGTTTGGGTTCTAGTTTAGTAACCTAGTTGGTTTCCATTGTAGTCTACTTAAGGGTTACCTTTTCCTTGTTTGGGCCATTGGGCCCGATTCAACTTCTTAACTTAGTTAGGCTTGTAAGGGGTTACTTCTAGTCCTCTACATGTTCTTAGGTGTTCACGACTCCTGATGGACGGCTTTATCTCTAAGAAAGTTACCGTTTTACCCTTAGCGGGTTTTGACTGTTATAAGATTACAAATCTATGACATTATTTCCCTAAGTGTTCTGTCCTTAAGGACCTCAAGCTAAGACTCAGAACTCGGTCTCCGTTAAACCTTTTTATCCTTTCTTGGTCAAAATGACCGTTTTGCCCTTGATGGTTTTCTAATTGACTAAAGGGTTCAAGTTTCCAATTTCCTAACCCTTTTCTGCCTTCACAAGGCCCTGGACTCATACTTACAGGTTTTCCCTCAAATTTTCCAAAAATTTCGATTTAACTCCTAATGTCGGGAAAATTGACGTTTTTACCTCTGAGGTCAAACTTGGTCGTTTTCTACCAATAAGCTCATCTTGACATAGGATCAAAACTCTCAACTGAACCTAAGTCTAATTCTCACTAAAAGACCATTTTACCCTTAATCAAAGTTTGGTCAACGCAACTTCCGAACGCGATAACCTTTTATCGGTGCGGAATTTGGAAAAATTCTGAACATAAGTTTTTCTCTACTCATCATGATATACAATAATTTATACTGTGGCTGAGCCTAATTTGACCTCTAACTATGACGTCCTTTGTAAATTTTCTATTTTTTTACCTAGGGGCATTTTCGTCCATAAAATTTTTGAACGCTTTCCGGATCTGGTTAAAATTTTCAGACCTTAATAAATTATATATTACCAGTTTAAATCTCATAGTTTCATGCCATAAAGACCATTTTGCATGCCAACCCTTAGATTTCATGTCATATTAGTTTAAGGTTTGCATTTTTACAAGACTATTGCTAGTCTACCAACAACAACCATTTCTCTAACTTTATTTTTTGTTTCTAACCTTTAAAATCTTAGATCTACAACACCAAAAACAGCCTTCACAAGTAAATTTCAAAAATCATGAATCTAGAGGCAAGTCACTTAAAAATAACAACACTTTCTTACACCACAATAACAACTATTCAAAGTCTAGTGTTTTGATGTTTTTACCTTGAGTTGGATGCTTTGATCCTTTAAAGAACCCTAGATCTCCTCTTGAAAACAACTTCTAAGAAAGAGAAAACCATATTTCAATACTTTGAAAGAAAGTTTGAAGAGTGAACAAGAATCAAGTTTATAATATGATTTTCTTACCAAAACTTCTTCTAACCTTTAGATCTTCTTGTAGTGGACTTGAGAGAAAGAGAGAGAAAGGGCTGCTGGTTTTGGGAGAGAAGAAACGGAGAAGAAAATATGAGAAAAGAGTGCAAAAAAGGCCATTTAAGTTCTCACCCTCACCTATTTACAGATCAAGGATAAGGAGAGATTAAATTGCAAATAAAAATCGCCCTAAAAACCCCCTTAGTGGCTGAATTCTTCTACCTAGGGAGAGGAGAAAGTTTTGCATTTTTTAGGTGCAATTATGATACTTTTAGCCTTAATTCATTGGATAATTTTCACTTTTGTTTAAAGCTTCTTAACCAAGGGTTCTTCAATTTCCTTTTTCCACTTTTGGAAAGATTCCACATCACATGGATTTGACAAGGCATAAGAGAAATAACCTTTTTGTCTTATATGGGTTTGTAGTATATTTAATCCTAACCGTTTCTTTGAATTTTCATAAAATCCTAACCATTGATTTGGAATAATTTCTTAAGACCCCTCTTGATCTGATAAAATTAAATCAGTATAATTCATTTGAACACCTCAATCTCAGTATATTTTTACACTGATAGTGTCAATTTTTCTTACTAACTGTGTGGCATGAGTTGGCATGTGTTGGTGACCGAATCGAATTCGGATGTGGAAGTGTGAGGGATTGCGGATCAAGTATAACAAAAATTTTCATAAAATCTTTGAGATACTCTATAGATTATATTAATTTATGTATGAATAAATTAATCACATTAATTTATTTATTAAGAACTCAATTAAGAATAATACCTGGCCAACGATTATGATGATAACTTGAGTTTTTTGACCTCGAACAATCCTTGCTCCAAAGCTTTGTATTTAGAAAACCAATGTCTTCCACGTCAATTCTTAGAATCCACGAAGACGTGTGTGTGGGCACACCTG